GTTCTCATTGAAGATGACGTCACGGCTCCGCCTACACTGCGTTACTATAGATACTACCCCAGTTCCTAAACTGTAATGGAAATGCGCCATAAAGTGAGCCAGTCCTAACGAGGCCTAGCCATACCGAGCGAGGCCGAGCGAGGCCGTGTAGTGGAAACGCGCCATTAGGCTCGCCCACTTCTTTTATACAGTCTTAGATATTGGTTAATCAGAAAGTCTCTGCTTCTTGAATCCATGTTTTGTGAAGCTTTACTGATGTTTGGCATGCGTTTACTCTCACCTCAAACCCTCTGTTGTCTTCATTGTACTGGACCACATCCATGAAGTTTCCAGCCAGCGATTCCAGGAAGTAGGCCGAGTCCATCTCAGTCTGGATCTGCAGCTTTGAACATAAGCTGAAGAGAGAGAGAAGTCAAACAAGGTCAGGGAAGAGACTAAACATCAGCATGTAAGCCTTGTCATTGTGAACATTGACATGCTGCTGTTAGCATTTAGCTGTGCCGATAAGTAGAGTCTAACAGAGCCGTTAAAGGGGACATATTCTGCTCATTCTCAGGTTCATATTCACATGTCTCCATGCTTTAATGTTCAAAAAGCTCTTTATTGATCTGATACTGCCTGTGCTGCAGCACCTCTTTCTACCTTCTGGAGAGAACACAGGGATTTTAGCCTTTGTTGAACATTTACATGCACAAAAACCTATATAACACACTACAGGAAAAAAATAAGTATAATAGGACCTCCTTAACATGGCTGTAGACGTAATCTTTTTTTCCACAAAAAGTCAAACGTGTGTACTGATTAGCGTCATCACTCAAACCCACAGTAATGAAGTGAAGTGTCAAAGTGGAAATGAACTGTTTGTTTTACTTTCCAATAGTGCAAGAGTGTAAGAATGTAGACATATACGTACTTGTGTGTGTCGAAAAAGACGGAAAATTACAGCTTCCATGACTTTCTGTGGGACCTTTGCTCCTGTACTTAACATGCTGACGACATGATGCTTTTAGAAATGAGTGTACGTGCAATTCCTACATGATGAAATTCTGTCGCAAACATTGCATCCTCTGAGTCACTGTGGTTTGGGAACAGGACAAGTCTCTAAAAACAACCTTTCTGACCTTTGTGTCTGCAAGGAAGCTAAATAAAAGACGTCCAATGTGGTCGGTGCAGAGTCAGAGTGACAGGATTAGCTCTGTGAGACGAACCGCAGCCATTTAAACCTCTGTATTAATCTATTGACTGACCTCACAGTCCCTATAATAACCCAGAACGGGCAAATATAAAAACATCACAGACAGACATAATGACTGCAGACGTAGCACCGGCTTGCTGAGAATAACGTCATTCATTAAAACTAAAAACCAGGGAAGAAAATCCTGTAAAACGTAACAGAGAAAATACCCCAATAAAATGGGGCAAACCAGGAGAAACTAAGCCATGTAGACTATTTGTATTTGTACTTTATCCTTGTTAGTGGCCTTTGAAATGACATTTTAACCATGTGTTACTTAAGCTATCAATTGAAAAACTTGATTATGAATAAAACATGTAGTTTGGTTTACAGGTTTGACATTAGGCGCTTTCACACCGGAGTACTTTTCCCCGTACTTTTCCCTTTTAGTTCCGATAGTTCCTGGGATTTTGCGTTCACACCAAAAAGAGAACTTAGTTCAGAGAACTTTTACCCCCCTTTTCAGTCCCTGCTAGAGAGGTGGGACTATCCTGGGGGGAAAAAAGTTCCAATTTCTGATTGGCTGGGCGAATTGCAAACCACGCCCCGTAAAACTCGGAAACGTTTTGTGAAAGCCGCCATTGTATTTGCTGGCATTAGCATTATTAGCATTAGCCCCGCGCACCAACGGAGGGAGACTAACTTATGGCAACACAAAAAAAAAACATTGGAGCGGTGGAGTGATGAGGAGGTGTCGGCGTTCTGGCGATTTACTTGGAAGGCTTCAGTAGAAGCTGCTGGGAGTCCCATGGATGGAGAGAGAGAGAGAGAGAGAGAGAGAGAGAGAAGAGTGGAGACGAGAGATCGAAGAGAGAGAGGAGAGAGAGAGAGAGAGAGGAGAGCAGATGACGAGAGATGGGAGAGGCGGATCGAGAGATTGAGAGAGAGAGAGAGCGGAGGAGAGAGAAGAGACGAGATGAGGGAGAGAGATGAGAGAGAGTAGAGAGAGAGAGAGAGTGACGCAGAGAGAGGGAGAGAGAGGAGAGAGATAGATAGATAGATAGCTAGATAGATAGATAGATAGATAGATAGATAGATAGATAGATAGATAGATAGATAGATAGATAGATAGATAGAAAAAATATCCCCTAAACCCTTGCATCATCAAAGTTTTTGATCTGCTCAAACTTAGCATTTCTCCTAAATGACAGGATAATGAAATATGTGTTGAAGAGACACTTTACTTGAAGTCTTTGGTGATGTTATCGTAGGTCTTGGGGTCCTTCAGGAGCTTCACAAGGGTGTTCGAAGCCTCTTCCACAATTTTGGGGCATTCTGCGTTCTCTGAGGCCAGCGAACGCCTCACAACCTCCAAGTACTCTGTGAAATTAAAACATGCAGACAGAGGGAGGGAGGACACTTAGACCTGGGCGGCTATAAAAAGCCACAATAATACACAACAACCCGGTTAAACACACAGGGCTATTCTGAGGCGCTGGAAAGCAGCAATTCATCTTCAAAAGAACACGCTGGATCCCAGATTTAGTGAAGTGCCGGAGAAAGGGTTTATTTTAAAAGGTTGCAAGTGAATTTCACAGTTTATGAAACTCTAGAGACTCCACATCTCTAGACCTGCGATCATTTCCACTTTTTTGCACTGTTTTTTACCGATTTATCCTATTCTTTCTTTTTATCTCCTTACAAAGTGCAGAGTTCCTATTTTTTTGTTCATGTATGACCTAAGAATAAGTGGACGATTAAAACAAAGAAAAAAAACACATTTTTTTTTTGTATATTTTGTCCGAATGTAGTTTCCTAAAGAAATTGTCAATTTGATTTCACATGTTTATTTATAACAGCAGCATGTAAAACAAACTATTGCACATAATTACAAATACAAAAAGAGTAGTAAATAGACAATTATACAATATAAACCTCTCAAAATAGCAGATAAAACATAACTAAAAGAGTAAAAGACTGTGAAGATAAAAATATGTGAACTATTGGACTAATAAAACACTATTAAAAGGGATAAATTAAAGCTAACACAATATAAAAGTGGGATATTATTAACAATTAGTGTTCAAGAATGGCATATTTAATAACAAATAAATGTAAAATGTACAGTGAGAAGTTTTAAAGGTCACCTATCATGCTATTTTTAGGCAATAGCATAGGTCTCAGATATATACAAAAATATAAAAAACATGTCTATGAAGTGTTTTGCTCAAAATACCAAACAGATCACCCATTATAGCCATGCTTCATATCCCTCTATTTCACTTCCTGTTTCAAAAGTGCTGATTCTGGGTATAAACAGGTCTCTCTTGAGAATGAGACCATGGGTGTTTCTCAATGTCGAGGACGCTTCCTTGGTAGCACATGTCTTCCGAGTCACTTGCTTCAGAAGCGAGGCAAGAATCCTTCCTAGCCTCGGAAAACGAAGAATTGTGGAACAGGCTAACAGGTGTGCAGGTGTGCGTCATATGCGAGGCCCCGCCTTAAATGGAGCGCGATTTCCGCCAAAGATTTGGAAATTGGTCCGTGCGCAAAGCATTGTGGGGATTTTAAGACCGCGGAGTCTACACATGTGCAGCCTCGAAATTTCCCGCTATGAAGTACGCCGGGCTCGGTAGAATTCCAAGTATGCTGTGCTACCAAGCCAGCATCCTCGCGATTGAGAAACGGCCAGAGTCTAAAATGCTGCGGAGATTATTAGATCAAAGATTATTTCTGAAACAGTATGGAGCTCAAAGGCTTTCTCTCTTGCCGGTTATACCACAAGGTGAGTTCCTTTTTATTTCCTGCTTCTTCACACACATGCTCTCCAGTACAGGTTAGCTCTGAGTGTTAGCCATGCTAATGTAAACACCGACCATATTAAGTCCAAAACAGTCGGGCATTGTTTCTGATAGCAACGTCTCTGATAGGGCCGTGGGTGTAAAGCCAGCCTATATTTCAGATATTACGTCATATCGGCCGCAAATCTGGATCAGCTCCGTTGTAGCCCCGTTTTTAGAGATTTGAGTACAGAGGAAAAGAGAGAGGGTTTTATTTGCTGACGCTGCGTGAGTTCCCCGACACACCGGGGACACATCTTTCTGTATAAAAGACATCAAAAAGTGCATTTTGCATGATAGGTCCCCTTTAAGTCCACTTATTGCCAAAAGACAATGAAGTCTTTAAATCTTTTTAACCTGGAGAGAAAGAGACACTCCACATTACAGAATCTTGGAATATTTCCACTCGTTTGCACTGTTTTATTCCACTTGTCTTACTGCTTCCTTTCTTTTTTGTTTCCTTACAGAGTGCACATTAAATACGTTGTACTTTTTACATTTATTAGGACCTCTTAACAAGATGACAATTAAAAAAACACAATATTTTGGGTATATTTCGTCATATTTAGCATCATAAACACTTTGTTAATCTCACATATAGACATTATTTCTGTACACAGTATTTATTCTACTGTACAATACTAAATATACCTCTCTTATTCTTGCATCCTACTTGCACCAATATGTCTTTATTAAACTATTGTACGTCTTTTCTCATTGTTGGAGGAGACGGGACTTAAGATATTCCCTGCCAAAGACAATCAGGCCTTTCAATCTTTCCATCTTTTGAACCCGGAGAGAAAGCCAAACTCTTCCTGGTGATGACGCCGACTGACTGCAGTGCTGATTTTGGGAAATAACAACTTTGTGTGTGTGTAGATATTATCTTAGAGTCAAATAAAATGTGTGTGTGTGTGTGTGTGTGTGTGTGTGTGTGTGTGTGTGTTCACATCTGCACGCCAAAGTGTGTATCAGCAGGAGTGTTTGTGCACACCACAGGTGATTAGAGGGCTTGTACTTTTCCAGTGTGTGTGTGTCTGTGTGTCTGTGTGTTTGTGTGTGTGTGTGTGTGTGCCTTTGTGCGTGTCTGTGTGTGTGTGTGTGTGTGTGTGTGTGTGTGTCTGTGTGTCTGTGTGTGTGTGTGTGTGTGTGTGTGTGTGTGTGAAGCGTGTTCACATCTGCACGCCAAAGTGTGTATCAGCAGGAGTGTTTGTGCACACCACAGGTGATTAGAGGGCTTGTTATTTTCCAGAGTGTGTGTGTGTGTGTGTGTGTGTGTGTGTGTGTGTGTGTGTGTGTGTGTGTGTGTGTGTGTGTGTGTGTGTTGTATATATATATATAAGTGTGTGTCTTCCTACCTGGGAAGTTGACAGTAGCATGAACCGGAGCGCTGGTGGCCACAGAGCCATGGATCAGGTGAGGGTACTTCAGTCTGCTCCAGGCAGCCAGGGAGCCGGGGTACGAGCCTCCGAACGCAACCCAATTCCTGTCGCCGAGCCCTCGAGTCTCCGCCGTGACGGACAGGAAGTGAGCGAGATCAGCGAGCGCCTGACGACTGCTGAGGAAACGCAGGTTCCCCGTACTCAGATCACTGTGTGGAGACAAGGAAGGTTAAATACAAAGGAACTTAAGTTCAAGGTTCAAGGCTTGTATTGTTATTTGTACATAGCTACAGTGTATATATATCAATGAAAATCTTAGGTCCAACAGTGCAACACAATAAAACAGATAAAGTACTGCAAGTAAATACAAATAAAATAGAACAGAAATAGTGCAAGAAGTAATTGGAATATGATATATTAGATACGTAATTTGTAAGTTGCAGACAGATGAATGTGATGGATGTTCTTTCAAAAGGTCTTATGGCCTGTGGGATGAAACTGACCCTGAGTCTGCGGCAGTGAGCATCTGCTGTATGATCCTCTCACCATACGACAATACATTGACTCATAATGGGAATTTTTCTGGGGGGATTTCAGCCCATAAAATACTACCTGGTCTTTTTCGATGCAGCGCTGCCATCTGGTGTTAAAACAACTGCACTGGGATCAGCTGCTACGTTATGAGTCAAAACTAAACATGGATAAGCAAGGTTTAGTTTGCATGATTCCAGAAGACCACTATACATCTGAATGACACCCAATACCTTATGGAAGTGATCCATTCTTTTCTAGTATAGTAGTATACAGGCACACGTATTATTTGTCTGGCACTAACATAGAACAAACCTTTAACCCGACATAAAAACAATTGGAAACGGAAACAGGATGGTTAAGAGCAGGACTTTCTTTTTAGATGCAGCACTGCCCTCTGGTGTTAAAACAGCTGACCTGGGATCAGCTGCTAACACATGAAGCTGTTTGCACAATAGATTATTGTCCCTTTGCTCATCAGGATTATGGAGTCAGAGTTCCTGAAAGTTGAATACGTGTCGAAGGTGATGTAAGTAAAAAAACGGGTTACCTCCTGTCTGTTAAAGAATTGATTTTGCATGTGTGTGTGTGTGTGTGTGTGTGTGTGTGTGTGTGTGTGTGTGTGTGTGTGTGTGTGTGTGTGTGTGTGTGTGTGTGTGTGTGTGTGTGTGTGTGTGTGTGTGTGTGTGTGTGTAATGAAACGATAAGCTCAAAGTGTACCTGGTGGGACGGCTCTTCCCATAGAAGCGATGCTCCAGCATGAAGCACAGCGCTCCAAGTTTCTCTGCGTATTTCAGCCAGGTGCCGTTCTGCATCCAGGCCGCGTTAGCAGGACCCTCGCCCCCGATCATCAGGAACACGGGACCCTCGGGCCTGGAGAACGCTTTGTTTACAAAGTACCTCTGAGGGGGGAAACACACATTCATGGTCAGGTTTGTAACAAGATGTCTGCTGTCTTTATTACATGACAAAAAAATCTACTTTTTCTCAAATGGACACGTATGGAAGCCCATTTAGGCCACAGACAAGAAACAAAAATATCCTGTAAGTCATAATTACAAGATAATAACTGATAATAATGAGATAGTAAGTCAACAAAGTAATGTACAAACAAATGAAGTCAGAGAGAAATAAAACAGTGCAGATGAAATACTGCTGCAAGTTAAATGCAGGGATAATAATTATAATAACATGGTAAGCTAAATTAAGAAAATGACAATAAAAACATGAAACAAAAATGTAAAATCTGAATTGAAATGGCCAAAAATGTGCAAAGCTTCACAGTAAAAAGTATAAAAGATGATGCAACGTACAGAGATAAAGTCTTAAAGAGGAAACTACTACCTCTCATATGCACTCTGTTTCAACTAGCCTATATATAGCCTGCTGCAACAGCATGATGCACTTCCTGAAACTCAGTTATACGTTTCAGTTTTGCAAGATTTACAGTGGCGACCGCTATGAAAACTCTATGGGGTCTTCACTGCAAAACCAGTTGAATCGACATGTATTTAAACCTTTTTTAGGACTTACTTGCTTCCACTGTCTGCTGTCAGCTCCATTGAAGTGATCCAGTTTCTGGGTGAACCACAGCTCCTCACACACACCCCCCGTGGTGCATTCAGAGTCCTGGCTTTCACTGAACTTCCTGAAGCCCTTAACCCGTCCCTCTGCAAACACACACAGAGACAATAACAGAAATACAGTAACGCTGGAGAAGAGAGACACACTCCTCTGAACAGCCATGTTGATACAAACAGAGAAGCAGGCAGGAGGCATGTGATTCACTTCCATGTGGTCATGTGATCTTCTGCTGCTTTCAACGACTCGTTAAAAACATGGGAGAAATGACTTCTTCAGGATTGCGAGACAGACTTGACAAAGTTCTTTCCCCACGATTTGTGATACGATGTATTTTATTTAAATACTTCAAATTGATCGAGAATATTTTTGTTTAAATGTATGTTAAATTGCATTGTGTTGTAAAATATGGCTAAAAACCTGGGTGTTTTTTTCTCTCTAGTGAAGTAAAGTAATTTTATTTAAATAAATAAGTTATCCAATTAAGTTATATGGATTTGGAGTCATAGGAGTGATATAATTAACAATACATTTGTAAAATAATAAGGAATGGCCCAGAATGTAAAGAGGTATACACAAAAGAAGAGATAGGTGAATAAAACACGTGGAAATGTAAAGAGATGTAAATAAAAGAATAAATATGTAATAAAAAAACAATACATATTAAGTCTGTGTACCTTCGGTTCAATTGTCTTTCTTTCTTAAACCAGTAAACAGAAAAGAGACTGCATTATTGTTTTTTGTTTTAGTTGTTTACCTTATACTAAATGGAATACTCTGTTACAGTAAAAGTCCTGCATTCAAAATGTTCCTCAAGTAAAAGTAGAAAAGTATTCTCATCAAAATATAGTTAAAGTACTGACAGTAAAAGTAGTCGTTGTGCAGATTGGTCCATTTCAGAATAATATATATGATATGTTTTATAATGATTGATCATGAAAGTGTTCTCAAAGCTGGTAAAGGAGCAGCTAGTTTGAATGACTTTGTATACTGCAGGGTAGCTTGTGGATTTACTCCAGGTGGAACTAAAGTCTGATTTAACACTTGATTATATTTCACATCATTCATCCAGATCTGTAAAGTAACTAAAGGTATTAAATACATGTAGTGGAGTAGAAGTACACCATGTACCTCTGAACTGTAGTAGAGTAGAAGTACAAAGTAGCATACAATGGAAATACTCAAGTAAAGTACAAGTACCTAAGAATTGTACTTAAGTAACGAACTTCACTCAAAGTCAACTTTATTATCAATATCTCTGATTGTGTTACAAACAGGGAGACCACAATTCAGTTTCACACTGTCCCAAAGATTACAAATATATACAAAAGAATATACACATATATATATATATATATATATATATATATATATATATATATATATATATATATATATATATATATATATATGTGTATAATACACAAAATAAAGATAAAAAGATATTAAAAAGACACATTAATAAATATATAAAAATAGCAGTCAGGTAGATTGATAGCTACAAACAGATGAGTATATGACAATTCATTAATATGACAACGTTACAAATATATTCAAGTAGTGCAATCACTGTCCATAGCAGCAAGTGGAAAGACAAAATGTGTCTGATGCAGGATGTGTGTGTGTGTGTGTGTGTGTGTGTGTGTGTGTGTGTGTGTGCCTGCGTGCGCGCGCGTGTGTGTGTGTGTGTGTGTGTGTGTGTGCGCGCGTGTGTGCGTGTGTGTGTGTGTGCGTGCGTGCATGCGTGTGTGTGTGCGTGCGTGCGTGTGTGTGTGCCTGCGTGCGCGCGTGCGTGTGTGCGTGTGTGTGTGTGTGTGTGTGTGTGTGTGTGCGTGTGTGTGTGTGTGTGTGTGTGTGTGTGCTGGAGTGCCCCCTCAGATAGATAGATAAGTACTTTATTGATCCCAATTTGGGAAATGTTTGCGTTGCAGCAAGATCAAATAATAAAGGCAAGGTGCACTAGAGATAGAGTTGCATTATTGAATGACAGGGTGTGTCGTCGTGTAATGTAAAACATGTCGTGTCAACATGTTTTATATGTTTTGTTTGTTTGCCATCCCAGTTCCTTGTCCACCAAACAGCCTCAGCACTTTGTACTTTGCCTCAGTCTTGATAGTCTGTCAGTGACTTTGATATCTTCTTTTTTAGACTTTGAGATATTTTTCCTGGTTTCTCCATCCTCTGCTTCATCCCTAAAGGTTTGTCTGCTTTTTATATATCTGTGCTCATTACCAGCTGGGTTTTGAAATTGAACTTCATTACAAACTGTTCCTGCTTTCCTGTTTGCTGCATTTGGGTTCAAACTCCTCGTACGTGTGAACCCACCTGGCTATAAACCCGTCTCTGATTCTGAAACACTCCCAGTTAGTACTGAACTGCTGTGATGTGAGTTTGAGTGCCGCATTGTTCGAGTTATAGTACTTTATAAATATATGAACAGTTTCTTCCCACTTTAACAATACTGAACATACTTTTATTTTGAGATACTTGTACTTTACTTGAGTATTTCCATTTTTTGCAACTTTGTACTTCTTGTATTTAATACCTTTAGTTACTTTACAGATGTGGATGAATGATGTGAAATCTAATCAAGTGTTAAATCAGACTTTAGTTCCACCTGGAGTAAATTCACAAGCTACCCTGCAGTATACAAAGTCAAAAAACAAAAAAAAAGGGTGGACAAGCAGTCTGAGGTGCTTGTTTCTACACGGACCCTCACTATTGCGGTAAGCGTGTTGTCCCTTCCGGTTGTTGTTGTCACCTCCGGGCAGGGCCGGCCCTAGACATTTTGGTGCCCTAGGCGAGATTATGATTTGGTGCACTTTGAGCACACAATTACTAGAGACTAGATCTAGGGTTAGGGCTAAAACACCCATATGAAAAAGATTGGTTTACATTTTAATAATCAAATAAATATGTGAACATTACATGTCATTTGTTAGACACTTTTATCCAAAGCGACTTACATACATTCAGTTCTGTGGACAATCCCCACAGGAGCAATTTCGGGTGAAGTGTCTTGCCCAGGGACACAACGACATGCTGACTGCAGTGGGGCTCGAACTTGCTATCCCCTGATTCGAAGTCCAGCACAATATCCACTTAGCGGTGGCGGTTCTAGACCAATTTGACTGGGGGGGCCTCGCTGGGGCCAGTTATTTTCTGAGGGGGGCCCAATAAATGCAGGACGAAAAAGACAAAGACAGTATGAAGTAATTGCGCATAAGAAAACAATGCAATACACTTATTGGTATTTGTTTCATTACACATATTTATTTCAGCTACTTATAGTTACAGATGTTACGCTCTAATGCAGGGGTCTCCAACCTTTTTTAGGGTGAGAGCTACTTTCAGAAAATAAAACAAGTCGTGAGCTACTTTTACCCTTTTTTTTGTTTTTTGCATTGTATATATTTAGCACATTTTAACATTATTATATGCTGACCTTTAACCTTTGTGTGCTGTTTGGGTCTGTGGGACCCGTTTTCAGTGTTTACTAAAATAACATGTATGCTATTTAATTATTTGAACCTGCTTTATTTGGGGGTGGGCCTCACCTCCTCTAGGGGGGCCCTGGGGCATGCACCCCCGGGGAGATGTTTTTTTAAATGTTGAAGTTAAATGCATCAATCTTGAGCACTTTGAGTCTCTCTCTCTCTCTCTCTCTCTCTCTCTCTCTCTCTCTCTCTCTCTCTCTCTCTCTCTCTCTCTCTCTCTCTCTCTCTCTCTCTCTCTCTCTCTCTCTCTCTCTCTCTCTCTCAAACACCCTTTCCAAACGTGCATTGCGGCTAAACCATCGAATCACCGATCACGTCACATCCGTTAATTCCACATCCACACACATGGATTAACATCGATTTAATACATTAATGTAGCCTTTGTTTCTGCTAAAAGAGGTGTCGACCAGCTGGGGCAACAAGAAAATCGGCGAAATCGTGTGTGACTATTAAAAAATAAATCATTATTATATTAATATTGACAATAACAACCGACCGTCGGGGTAGCATTTGCTTGGCATTTCCGGGTATTTCTCCACTGGTTGGGCCATGTTAACAATACCGTGTAACTGTCACGTTTGAAGGGACGAAATCGTGACATCTTCACGTCTCCCAGCATGGTAGATCGTCACATGTTCACGTCTTGCCGTGATACCGGGTTGCATTGAATATGATGAAGCTGTTTCAGCAGCAATGCAACAGATGACCAACTCTTTGCTCCACAGCGCTGCTCCTGGCCGGCCTGTTGTCTGTCGTCCACATCACTGATGAAGGCCTGAGCATCTTCTGGGTCTGGCTTCTGGTGTTCCTACGACCCCCGGTCAGAGAGGAGCAAACACTGGATGATCTGCTGCAGAAAAACGTCCCTAAGGAGGAGGTAAGGCCATGTGCTCACCATCAGACTGATTGATTGATTGATTGAAAAGTTTATTAACAGCTTGTATATTGGGTACAGTACAGTACAGCTCAAAACATACAATTGTTAAGGGGATGCAGACCAGAGAAAGACTTTCGTCTTGTTTACATCAGGGTCCCCCATTTCCAATTCATCATATCATTTAAGACATATAAGACATATTTGACATACAGATGGCTTATTTACAATTTACATACAGGTGGTTTTTTACATACAGATGGCTTATTTACAATTTTCATTTTAGATTTCGTTCTAATACATCCTAACCGGACATTTAAGACATACCAAGTCTACAGATATACAGTTAGTAACAGAGTCTAAAATGCGAGTATATACATAGATGGGGGGGGGAAGCTGTCCATTGTACGACAGGTAGACTAAATACTGGTTTTAAACCACAGCTGTTTCCACACACACTGCTCCTCTTCTCAAACCTTCTCGTGCTGGGAGAAGAATAAGATCGATCTGAACTGTAAATCTTCAGATCGCTCTTTGTGGTTTTGTATGATTCTCTCTCAGCATGTCTTTCTGTCTGCGGAAACTGATGGCATTAATGTTAAACACATCACACAGAACTGAAAGACCTGCTGAGATGAATCACTGCATATATATGTTCTGATTATGGTGTCAAATGTGATGTTAAATACAATGCTAAGAAGAGCGCTGTAATGATCTGCAGAGCAAAAGGGGAGAAGAACCTTGGTTTTCCAATAGTCTATCTGTCAGGGCAGGTGCTGTCTGTTTGCTGTAAAACGAAGTATCTGGGACTCATCATTACAGATTAAATGGCTGATGATGACGACATGT